AGATTGTATTACTGACGCATGATGTCCTATCAAAGCGCCAGTTTGTCTTTGTTTCTTATTTTTGTTGTTGTTTATTTTTAAAAAAATCATAAAAAATTAAATAAAAGTACACCGAAAAGACCATGCACTCGTCACGACAAACCCATTGATTTTAGAGGTCAAAAAGTATGGTTGCACATATTTGCGTTCATCATACTCATTTTGGATGAGATCCAAGGGTGTCCATCGCCGACAGTAGTGACTAATCCCTTTCGCCGCGGGAGCTCTCTAAAGGAGGTAAACAGCTGGCCACGAAATGCGCTCCATTCTCATGGACGGGGATCGAACCCCCAACCACATGGTTAAGGAATGAGGTGAGCTACCACCACACCACATCTCATGGTTCGTTCATCATACTCATTGAATCAACCAAATAAGATTATTAGTTTTAGAGCATTAACTTGTGTTTTAGAGCATCTCCAATAGAGATGTCAAATGCCGTATTTTTAATTCGAATTTGATGACTTATGTGACAATTTGACATTTTGTCAAACTTTATACTCCACCCGATGTGTCAACTTTACTATTATTTTATTATATTTATTTTCTTCCATAATTGTTATACAGTTCTATCTAAACATATTTTAGAGTTCTATTAGGGAATATTAGTCAAACTATCAAAACATATACAGTCGAACTCTATAATGAGGACCGACCTTTGTTCTACTTGGACCGACCTTAGTGTGGCTAAAATAAAATATATAAAACAATGGTACAACTTAAAATAAAATTATTACACCAACAGGGTCTAGTTTAGTAGAAAATGACCTTGACTTGTAAATAAGAGGTCTCAGATTCGAACCCTCATGGCATTTTGGTTGTGTGTGTGTGTGTGAAAAACCCTTATTCCCTGTAGTTTAGATTACCGATTATACTAAAAAAAAATTAGAAATTATTACGAGTAAAATGAAACTTAATTAGGTAGCCAAAACCCTCATGGAAGTGATTATGAAAGGCATGACTTCAGCAGCCTGCCTTGCTTGTACCTTCTTTCACTACTAGAATAATATCTTATCTTGTGCTAGTCCAAACTTGTACGGTAGTGCTTTGTTGTTATCGAGTGTGCCAAAGTTTGAAGCCACTCTCTCACTAAAGACTTGGACCACAAACTAACGTATTTCTCAATTTCTTTGGCTTAAGTACTGTACCACTAGTTTAGCTCTCTCTCTCTCTCTCTTTAGTGCCTTTATGGTTCAAGTTCTATTAAGAAGATTTAGAACTCCATTGCATATCCTATACTAACGTAAAGTGGGTACGGTTCGGACTGATTTAGTGTTTTGAATTGTTTAGAAAAATCTTCTTTCGATAGTAGTTGTGTTCATTTTGAATTTGATTGAATTGATAAAACTAGTCTAAACTAATGAAAAGAACGAGAGTCGAATTTTCAATTGAGTTCATTTTGAATTGATTGAATTGATAAAACTAGTCTAAATTAATGAAAAGAACGAGAGTCGAATTCTAGAAGAAGATAGTCTTTTTCATTGAGAACTAGTCTTTTTTGTAAATACGTATCAAAATATACGAAAGAATGACGGGTGATGGGTTACAAAACATGAGTTAGTGTGAACCACTGGGGTCTTTGGTAAGAGTGGATGCTCAACTACGAAAAGTCGCAACACGTGGCACAATGAGGCATCAGCAGCTCCCACCTGGCACTTTCTCAGATGCTCCCAAAGATGGACGGCTTGATGTGGTTGTCATGCAATTGCTTGTCGGTTATCTAAAACTGTGGAACTTAAGACTACACAGGCTGCCACGTGGCCATGATTAAAGAGATAAGCGCGTTGCGTGTCGTATGCTTGACGGTTAGTTGCGCGTCGTCGAAGCCAATCTGCATAGTCCACTCTACCTCCTTACTGTGCTAAGCTCACTGACCATTGATTTTACACAAATACCCTTGCAGCATAGGCTTGGAAATAAGAGGAACAGTCACTTTTTTTTTTTTTCTTGTTGGATATTATTCGAATTCCAAATTGATTCAACAGAACCCGACTTAAAAGTCTAGTGATGTTTTTTTAAATTTTTTTCCACAGGGCAAAACATTATCAGGAAATATAAGAATTGTCACGAATAATTCTCACGGATAGATAAACGTAAATGTAGAGATTCTGAAATAGGTTAACATTTTAAACAACTCAAAATTTGAGTCGCTCAAAATCCGTTAACAAAATGATAAAAAAACATTAAAGAGAAAAGTGATGAATTAACATATCATGAATAGTTGAAAAAGAAACGAGGAAATGATAAAGGAAAGTGGGTTGAAGCAGCCCTAACAAGTAACATGAAATAGTAAAAGCGTGGAGTCGAGATTCAATGTCTGTCTTGTCTAGTCTTCTAAAAAGATTAATTCTCTCAGTCTTCGGTCGTGAAAGTTGAAAAATAGGAAGGGTAATTTGGTAAGCTTGGGTTGTACCGAAGGGGCTTGGTTTTTTCTAGAAAACAACGAGGATAATCATGGGAATGATTAAAGCACACGTGGCTAATAATGCATGTTCCTCGCAAGATTTAGCTGTCTTTCCAGAAGACCAACCAAAATACCATAAACTACAAACCAAGCAACGACCCTAAATGCCAGCACTCAAGAGAAGTCCCAAGTCACAAGCTCAAAGCCTGCATATGGAAAGTTCAAAAAGGTAACGAAACGGACCCACATGCTTATATTATATATACGTGTGAAGAGCATGAACCAATCAAATTATTACGAGCCGGAGAAATCGGAGGAATTATATAATGATACTAGAGTACAATTATATATTGTATATATGTTATAATATGGGTGAAAACGATAATGTTAATTTTTTTTTTCCCTTTTAGAGAATAGTATCAATAAGAGTGCAGTTATTTCCACCTTTGTCTTATTTCCCCACCCACCTTATCTTTTCACCAACCATATAATTTTTTTTTATTGTTAAAAAAGACAGCAACACTCTCTTTATTTGCACATTGAAGATAATAGCTTCTTATTTTTCCATCATATAATGGAAGATAATAGCAACACTCTCTTTCTTTGCCTCCCCTTTTTTTGTAGCAAATTGCCTAATTTCTCAAGCACCTTTTCATTGGCCATTGCTTCAACTGCAATTTTTTGCTTCAGTTATGTGATTGTTTTATCAAATGCCTTCTTTTTGAGTCTGAGAGAACGCTAAGATTGTGTTTAGCCAAATTTATATGGTGGGTGGGAAAATAAGGTACGTGAGCAAATTATACTATTGTACTACATTATAATTACTAGAGAAATTGTTGTGGTCACACTCATGATATCAACCCCAAATTGTTTTCCACAACATATGAAAATTCAAAGTTTTAGTTCTTTCTTTATGGGAAATTTTAGAAGCTAGCATTCATCCTCGATTTCTCACGTCACCGCGCACGTAAGCTAAGACGTAATAAGATTGTGTGTGGGGTAGGTTTCCGTTGAGTAAAACCATTAAAGGGGCGGTTTTTTTTTTTCTTTTTTTGACTTTCTGCTTCTTTTTACTTACCAAGGAAAGAAAAACACTTTTTGCTTTCCTTAAGCATAGTATCGGAATCATAACTTCTTGAATTTAACCAAATATAATATGTAAATGATAGGATAATACCTTATTAGAATAAGCAAAATTTATAGTGTTACCTAAACATGAGAAAATAAAACACTAGAATATCAATTCAAGTTCAAATTCGTAAGATTTATTTTGGTATCTACAACATTACTATTGTTATAGTTGTTGAAGCCTAAGAGCATCCGTAATGGTGAGGATCATTTCAATTTTATTTCAATAAATTGAATTTTTAACTTGCAGTGGTAAAGTTCAGTTCATTTCATAGGTCAATATGACTCATCATAATAACTTTACAACCTCTCTCGTACATGGACAACATTACTTTTTACTTTTTAATTTTTTCATTACATTTAATTAGTGTAAACTAGCCGTTACTTTCTTTTTTGATTCAAAACAATATATAATCACTTTTGATTATAAAAAATAAAATAAAATTACATAATCACTAAAACATAAAAAGGAGATCTGATAAGAATGATGAACCATTTAATTCAAATATGATTTATTTGATCATAGAAGATCTTTTAAATTTAGTAATTCAAATCTGATGAGTCATTTATACGTATCCTCCACGATTTTCACATTGCTCACTCGCTCTTAGGCGACTCTATTCCAAGTAAAACTCCTATTAATAAGAAGGGCATGCCAATTGATTAAGTTAATAGCATTTTGCAAGAAAAAATAATCAACTTTGAATGGTTAAATCTACTTATATAGTCAAGACTAAGCCACTTAAAGTGTTTTTTTTTATTTTTAAATCTTGATGGCCGAAGTATTTCAATTCTACATCTAATTGCATAAGATTATATACCAATTTTAGCTAAAACAAATTTGATATACTAATCTTCTAAAAGAATTTTCATTCCCCTCTTGTAAATTATATCAACATGATCAATTGGAATTTGATTTGGTGTCTACAGTATACCCACAATGAGGTCATAATGTGTCTATGTCACTACACTCTAAAAGTGAAACCTTTTCTTTTATTTTTGTTTTTGATAAGTACCCGTGATGTAGAAATTCAATAAATTGTTTTTAGTGTGCTAAAAATCATTTAATCAAAAATAATAATTAGTTCCTTTCTTGTTAAACACAATGACATAATGCTAATTTTAGGGACACTTCCCTTTCCCATTATTTTATCCATCTTTTCTAGGCAAAGTTGTGAGTCTAATTGGTTTGTAATTACCAAAATTACCAACTGATTACCAAAACAAAAACTAATTAAAAAATTACCAAAAAACTTTATTTAAAAAAAAAAATATTGAACCGTGTTGCTCACGCCCTAAGACCCAAGTAAAAGTGATTTGCTTCGTTTTGTGGATGCAAACGAAGCAAATCAAAGCAAGCATACAATTGTTTGACTTGAAAAAGTCCAACCAAAAGCTCTGAGTCACCGCCTCTTCACCTCCCTCTCTCCCTCTCTCCACTCCCACTCCAACTCCACCTCCTTTTTCTTTTTTTTCTTAGTTGACCGACTTCACTCTGCCTCACCAACTCTTCCCAAAACCCATATATAAATACCACAGCTCTCTTCTTCACTCTCCACCAATATCCCAAAACAAAAAAAAACCCAAAAAAAAACACCACCCAATATTTCACCAAATTGAGCTCTCTCTCTTAAGCACACACCTTTTTCTTGCCCACTCAAACCAGTCTACATCTTTCTCTCTCGGCCATCGTATTATTTCAGGCACGCCAAACATGGCCTTGGAGGCTTTGAAATCCCCCAGCACCCCTTCCCCTCCCTTCTCATCTTTTGACGAAGTGGAGGATCGCCACCTCAACCAGTCCCAGGAGCCATGGGCCAAGAGGAAGCGCTCTAAGCGGCCACGTGTTGACGACCCACCAACGGAGGAAGAATACCTCGCTCTCTGCCTCATCATGCTCGCCCGCGGCACCACCGCCGACGCAGCTGCTGAGCTGCCGCCTCAGCCGCCGGCTCTGAAGCTCTCTTACAAGTGCTCTGTCTGCAACAAGGCCTTCTCTTCTTACCAAGCCCTCGGCGGCCACAAGGCTAGCCACCGAAAGTCAGACTCTTCTGCGGCAGCCGCCGCTGTCAACTCCACCGACAACCCTTCAAACCCCGCCGCCACTACAAGCGGTAGGACCCATGAGTGTTCTATTTGTCACAAGACTTTCCCCACCGGCCAGGCCCTGGGCGGCCACAAGCGCTGCCACTACGACGGCGGCAGCGGCGCCACCAGCGCCCTCACCACGTCAGAAGGCGGAGGCGCTGGGGCCTCCAGCCACAGCCACAGTCAAAGTCAGAGTCACCAGAGTCAACGCGGCTTCGACCTGAACCTTCCGGCGTTGCCGGAGTTCTGGCCGGGGTTCGGCGGCGACAAGAGAAGTCAACTATCTGTCGAGCAGGAGGTGCAGAGTCCGATGCTGGGGAAGAAACCGCGGTGGCTGTTGAGTCGAGATTGATTTGGGAGAATATTTACGTGAATTACAAAGCTCAATAGCCATAGCCTAGCTGCATGTTTTTACTTTTTTTTTTCTTAATTTTTCTTTTGATGAGTTGTTGCATGCTGTACAGAGAATTCAATTCGTTCATTGTTTTGTGAACAATGGTTTTAGTCTCCAATTGGTTACTTAATTAATATTTTATCATCAATTCGATTTGGGTATTATTTTTTACTCATCGTTTTGTTACATAATCATAATGAATTTATCCTTTCTTCCGAGTATACCAAAACAATAAATTTGGTTAATCCTGAGCTGTGATCTTTTTCTTTAATTTTCATTTTTAGTAGTAATTGTGAAATTTAGATTTTGTTTACAAATAATATTCTAAACTACTAAAAAAATTAATCTAATTTACGAGAAGCATGATTCAAACTTGACTGTAGTACGACACTTTTACTGTCTTGATCAACTGACCTAACCCACGTTTGTTGATTGCTATTTTCGATTTTCAAGTCAAGGTGTTTAGTTAATTTGTTTTTGTGCATTTAATTTTCTTCTTTAAATATGTTAATTAAGGGGGTGGGGTGTGGTATATTATTAGAAATGCAGCGTGAACAGCGCAGGCACAACAGGCAAATGCATGCACTAGTACTGGGGATGGCGGAGAGAGAGAGAGAGAGAGAGAGAGAGAGAGAGGTGTAAAGCCAAGTGCATAAATAAAAACAGACATGCACGAAGGAAGACAGAGAGACAAAGTATAAGGCCAAGGCCAAGGCCACCACCAGGAACCACATGTTAATAATAGGCTGATGAAACCCATGGTAGCCTCCCATGTGGTTCATGCCTTTAATGCACATGTCGAAGAGCATCATTTTGCAATATGATATGCTATATATTATATTAATGCAATTTAGCTTTTGCGTGGCTTAATTAGGACACTTGTGATTGCCTACTATTTTAATGATTTTGAGTATAAATTCACATGGACTATGTAGTTTTGCAAATATAAGGAACGGAGGTAGACATTTTTTTTGTTGTTTTCCAAAAATAAATGGTGGCGTACATGATTGGTATGATTGAGCAAGGAAATGATAACTACTTTTTCTTTCCATTATTACTCTATAACGTAATTTGATGATCATAATCGTCTACTTTCTAGGTTCTCATTGTCTCTCTTAAAGAATTAACTAACCCAGAAATCGTTCAATCATATAATTGTTATCGGATAAATAGATGAACCCAATGTTATATTAACCACTAAATTGTCACACTGTTGATGCATGTTCCAACATACCCATCACACACTAAATTATCACACGATATTTCGATTTATAAAAACAGACATGCACGAAGGAAGACAGAGAGACAAAGTATAAGGCCAAGGCCAAGGCCACCACCAGGAACCACATGTTAATAATAGGCTGATGAAACCCATGGTAGCCTCCCATGTGGTTCATGCCTTTAATGCACATGTCGAAGAGCATCATTTTGCAATATGATATGCTATATATTATATTAATGCAATTTAGCTTTTGCGTGGCTTAATTAGGACACTTGTGATTGCCTACTATTTTAATGATTTTGAGTATAAATTCACATGGACTATGTAGTTTTGCAAATATAAGGAACGGAGGTAGACATTTTTTTTGTTGTTTTCCAAAAATAAATGGTGGCGTACATGATTGGTATGATTGAGCAAGGAAATGATAACTACTTTTTCTTTCCATTATTACTCTATAACGTAATTTGATGATCATAATCGTCTACTTTCTAGGTTGTCATTGCCTCTCTTAAAGAATTAACTAACCCAAAAATCGTTCAATCATATAATTGTTATCGGATAAATAGATGAACCAATGTTATATTAACCACTAAATTGTCACACTGTCGATGCATGTTCCAACATACGCATCACACACTAAATTATCACACGATATTTCGATTTTTCAATTTGATTGAGTTTACAAAGAAACGAGTTTTGAAGGATGACCTCAAAAATGAACAGTTTTGGTTATCATAAAACATTGCATGACAGAACAGAAAGGACAATAAATAAATAAATAAATGTAGGAAAAAAAGAAGATAAAAAAGGAAGGTAACTAACTAGAATTTCTCATATGATTTTAATAATTTAAAGATGTTCATACGTGTAGATGAAATGTTTGTACGTATGTTGTTGAAGATACATTCAAATATAAATAAATACCTTGCTTAATGCTTTTTATTATTCTCCACCGTACTCATCTCATCACACAAACGCAGTCGTGTTGACGCACCCCACTACTACTCTCCTCCAGTGTGTACGCCTTCAGAAGCTGAGCAATGAAAATGGCTTATTCCTACAGCAGTGTGAAAGCGAGGCTTTGCCGTGTGACCAAAGCTGCTTCCTCCAAACGCGGTCTTGAGTCTTGACAATAAAGCCGCTTCATTTTTTTCGTTATTTTTTGTTTTGTAATTGCTTTGTCAATGAATTATTCTTCTTCCCTTCCCTACTCAAAAAAACAAGAAGAGGTCATGTCCCTTCTGGAGTAACCTGTCATCAATTCGACTTAAATGTTGGTTTTACAGGTGCATCTACTATAATAATAATCGACATGATTTATATATCTCTATTTGGATGCCACTGTTCTGGTAGGTGGTGCTGTCAAATTCTTAGTTTACTTATTTGAACAAGAATTCAGTGATTTGGCTCATGCTTAACCGTTGTCTCTTTCTCGGCCTTTCGATCCCGAATGCACTGAAAAAACTAGAATTTGTTTAATCAATGGTTTTAAATCGATACCTAGTAACATATGTATTTTGTGCAAAACCGGAATCAGGAATTATATCTATAGGGTAGGTTATAATCTTCGTTTTCTTTTTATTATATTTGGATGGCTGACTGACTTTGTATAAGGAGTTGTCGTGGTGGAGTGGACTGAACTAATAATTTTCACTAAACGAGGTGAATTTACTTGTTAGTCATGATTTTAATTCTCAAAATTTAAGAGGTATAATACAAGTCAAGAACTTCATTATGTGGTTGTAAAGCTTACCTAAAAACTGCTTTGGGGTTCATTTGGAAAGAAAAAGGAGCTCTTTCACACGCAACGGGAGGCTAGAGAATGAAGCCTCTAGCTTGATGGGGTTGCTTCCTTGAACAGTTTAGAGATACTTTGGAGACACATATTCAAGAAGATGTTTGTGTTTGATTGCGTGACGGAGGTATACACACAAATGCTTTGGTGGAATATTACAATTACGACAAGCTAATCCATTTCGTTAAGTTAATCAATTTTAATTACCTTTGCAAATCATATCAATTAAGAAGAAATTAATCTCCGATAATCATGGTATTAAATTACTTAATAAGAAATTGATTTGATAATGAAGGGATTGGTGGACATTGAAGAAGAGAAGGTCAAGACGAGAGGAACGTGAAAGGAAGAAGACCAGAGACCATCATGAACTCCCCTTCACATTTTGCACACTCATTTAATATTTTTTCATTAAAGTATTAATTAATATTATAATTATTTCTATGCCTCTCTGCAGGTATGTGACATTAGGCAAAAGATGGCCAAATGAAACAAGACAATAATAATTAGGGCAATAATAAAATATTGGCCACTAGCTTGTACCCACTTGGATTTTTATTTTATTTTTCTATTTCTAAAAAAAAAAATTGTCAACTCAGAACCCAGAACAGTAAAATTGAACCAATCACAAAGACTAGTCAAAAGTTAATATTAGGGATGGCTATGAGAGCAATTGGGATCAAAATCACACTTCTCTTGTCTTATAAATATTTTATAATCCTATTTAGAACCCAACTGTTATATTGGACTATTTTTATAACAACAGTGGATGAGGTCAACAGCCATCTTTCTTTGATGGTTTGGAAGTGAGAGCCATTTGGTAGGCAAAAATTCAATCACCCAAAAACTACTTGTCGGATTCAAAGATTTGGTCTAAAATAGTTGGAGGTGGCAAAAGCTGTTGAGTGTGGTTGGGTCATCAGCTGAGACACAGTAAGCAAAAGTTTGAGACATTGTATTTGGTCTTGACCAAGATATTAGGCATATGTATAGTTAGTTAAGTTCAAATTTGACTTTTTTTGGTATATAAAATCTCTGTATTCAACAGCACTTTCCTACTCAGTTCCCTTAAAAAGGAATAAGCCGCACACATGTCCTTACAATTCATCCAAGTTTTAGCTTCTTTTATCGTACTTAAATTCAACGTTGGTTCAAGTATGACTGCAGGAGGGAGGATTTGAATTTAGGATCTCTTTCCATGTGGAAAAAACAAGTATCGAGAGATTGCTGCATATGTTAGAACTCCGACAATTGGTTTTCATTGAACTCTTCTCACTGAACTTAAACCTCTTTGATCTTATTACATTATGATTTTTTGTTGTTTTAATAGAGATCTTTGTTCAAATCATGATGAGCTTCTGTTGCTTGTAGTTTTTGGTTTAACAGTACATAATCACACCTAAAAGGAAGAAAAAGATTAGAAACAAGAAACTCAGAACACAGTGGCCCAAGTCCAATCCAGTCTAGATCTGGATTAGTTGGGCAGCTTGGTCTTGGGATAAGTTGGGGGGTTGGGTTGCAAGTTCTTCCAATCCAGATCCAGCCCAAACCTAAATGGACAAACCCAAGTCTACCCTAAATTCCCAATAGAAAATCAAAACTTGACCCAAGTATCCAACTGAGCTCAAACTCATCCAGCAAATAGCAACCCAAAGAAACCATACAAATTTGCAGGGGCCCATGCAACTGCAATATGGGCATCAACTTGGGTTACAGGGACCCATTACACAAATCACAAAAAGATCATTTGGGTACTCAATTTTTTTTTTTGTTCATGCACTTTTTTCTTTTTTTTGAAAGAAAATCAGGATTCTAGCTGTAGAATCTAGGTCATGATGTCTGCTAAATGGCTCAAACATACAATATATTGTACTAGTTTGGGAAAGAGACATAAAGAAAATGCAAAAACAAAAAAAGAACAAAAAAGGAAAAAGAAAAAGAAGAAGAAGCAGGGAAAAAGAGAGAAAAAAAAGAAAAGGGTGCAGAGAGTATTGAGAGCCTCTGAGACTAGTACAGAGGCAGCCTCTGCCTCCGCCTTGGCTGATACATACACAACACACAACCTTTCTATGTCACTCTTCATCATCATCATCATGGTCTTTGTTGCCAAACCCTTTATGTCCACAGCATC